AACCAGAATATCACTTTGTGAAAGCACAGAAAAATAAATACAATGAACACCCCAAAAATTAATCTGTCTTAAGATTGTTAGACAATTTTCATTGTATTTAATGAAATAAAAACAAACGGAATATAGAAAAAATAAAGGATAAGAGAGAGATCGTTTGATTACAAAAATCAAACCAGAAAATAAAATAAAATAATTAAAAGAAATTTTTTATTTTGTTATAAAAACAAAATGAAAATCTGAAACAGAAAAATAATAAAATAGAAAATAAATTAATTACTTACCAAATTAATTTCTTGAACATATTTTCTGATCAAGTCTAGTGTTTAACACTGTACCCTTAAGGCAGATTCGTCCTCTCCACGGTGCTTTCAGATTGTGGACGTCTATCTCCCAGAATAAAATGATCAACAACAAACAATAGCAATACTACAAATTGTTTGTACAACGAACACACTCTGTGTTTACACTATTTCTCACAAGAAAATAACATAGCAAAATGTACAGAGAAATTGCAGAATATTGTGGACGAAAATTGAAATAAAAATATCAAATGAGAGGCTACCTATTTATTCAAACTTTTAGGAAATTTCACAAAAAACACCATTTCTATAGAGCTATCTTTGACTTTAATTTTCTATTCACCTGATAATGATTTTGAGCAACCAAATATATCACGTGAATCACAACGCGACATAAAATGCGTTACTATTTAGACCCGCCAACTTTGACACATAATTTCCACTTAAAAATTAGATCAAAGTAAAGGAAAAATCTGATTTTTTCAAAACTTTCAAAACCATTTCTAACATTTGTTATGTGGGTGGGCAAATCCTTGTGGCATGTTTGATTGGGTGGATTAGAGAATGGGATTGAGATTATTAATCCGTAAGCCCAATTATCCTATATTTGTTTTAACATTTTGGTTTAGGATTATTAATTCAATAAATAATTAATCCAACAAATTTGTAGGATTATTAGTAATGGGGTAGTGGTAGGATTATTAATCCAATGGATATTAATCTAATTGGATAATGAATACCACATTAATTTAATAGAATTATTAATACTTCACTATTAATCTTGTGAATCAAATATGACCTTGAAGGATAACCCGGTGAAGGATATAGTGCAATCTGCGTTTGATCTTCTTCGTGATTTCACTTCAGTTACTGAACGGGTTTTAGGGGTGGGGCAGAGGTTTGGTTTGGCCACATGGAAGGCTCCAGCAGCGGGTATTTATAAGCTGAATTTTGATGGTGCGGTGTTTGATTGTCAACAGTCGATTGGAATTGGTGTGGTTGCTAGGGACTCCAATGGGGATGTTATTGCAGCTTTGTCCGAACAGAGGACTTTTTGGGTAGGGGCTGATTGTGCTGAAGCATATGCGGCTGCTCGGACGGTTAGTTTTGTTCAAGAACTAGCTCTTCAAGATGTGCAATTTGAAGGGGACTCTATGACACTCTACGATAGTGGCGCAAACTTTACAGAGGCAAAATTCTTCGCTTTCTGCTATTGGAATTGTTCTCCATGGAGTGATGGAGGAGTGTTTGGCCTTTCGTTCTTGGAGTGTGACTCATGTTCGGCGTACTAGCAGTGAGGTTGCTCATTGGTTGGCACGGATGGCAGGGTTGGTGCATGGCATTGGGCTTCGGGTTTGGATGACTGAGGTGCCATCAGAGGTAGTTTCTATTGTAGCTGCGGAAGCTATCAATTCTGGGCTTTCTTAGCCTCCGTTTGGAAAGTGGGTTGGTTTTTTGACTTTTTGACTTTTTTGGCTATTTTAGCCTGGGCTTAAAAGCTTGGTTTGGGAAGGGCTTTTTGGTTGGTGCATGGCATTGGGCTTCGGGTTTGGATGACTGAGGTGCCATCAGAGGTAGTTTCTATTGTAGCTGCGGAAGCTATCAATTCTGGGCTTTCTTAGCCTCCGTTTGGGAAGTGGGTTGGTTTTTTGGCTTTTTGACTTTTTTGGCTATTTTAGCCTGGGCTTAAAAGCTTGGTTTGGGAAGGGCTTTTTGACTTTTTATTTTTTTTGAGTTTTTTTGTGAGAGGAGAATGTAATGATTATGGGTTGGATGTGATGTTTTGTTTGTTATGGCTAAAATAGCCTATTTTGTTTTTTGTGGCTAAAATAACTAAAAAAAACCTGCAAACCCACTTGCCAAACACAGGCTTAGTTTAATCTGTTAACTATCTTAAAAAAAAAAAGAAATACAAAATAGTTCATAATTAGAAGAACTCTCAAAATAGCGAATAAATAATCAATCTCTATTTTTCACTAGGATTGACTCATTCACATTCCGGTTATATATGAAAAATGTTTGGGGGCCCTAATTCTGTGGCTCAAATGTGGCTCAAATGGCCAAAACGACGTCGTTTTGGCCATTTTGATGTTGTTTTGTACTCAAAATGACATCGTTTTGGCCATTTGAGCCACATTTGAGCCACAGAATTTGGGCCCTCTACCATTGCTCGTTATATATATACATGGATGACTGTTGAATTAACTCGTTTGGTTTGATAGAATGTGGGGGCATAATTTGAGATACACCTTTCTCATTTGATCTTGGACCAGTTTATCTCTTATTATTAAAAAGTATATAAATTCTATTACACTGTCATGTAATTTAGAAATAAAGGTTGCGTTTTGTAGAACTTTAAAATTATGATTTGAGAATATAATTGTATTTTGAGTTTGTGAGTTTTGAAATTATAATTTGAGTGTGAAATATTTATTTGGTTATGAATTTTAAAAAGAGTTTGAATTGAGTGATGTTACATATAATATTAAAAAGTTAGTGTTTTAAAAAGTGTTTTGAAAAATGGGTGTAGAATTAATTTTTTAAAACTGTAACCAAACAACACATTCAAACTAATGGCAAGAATTAAATTTCAAAAACTCTACCAAAGAGTGTTTCCAAAAAAGTCAATATAATTATTCATATATTTTTTAAAAAGAAAACTATATGCAAGTGGGAGTTGGGGATAAAATTATAAACACATGGAGAGTGCAAGTGTGTGGATATAAATGAAAGGTTGTGGGGATGGATGCAAGTTCCATGTGTTGATAATTTTTTTTTTAATTCTCACCTGTATGTAATTTTCTCTTTTTAAAACAAAACAAAATCAAAATAACAAAAATTAGCACTAATGGAACGCCATTATGGAAAAATTGGGTGCTTTGCAAGTTGTGCTTGTTCAATTCATCAACAGCTTATATGAAATTTTTACCTAGTCAAATTTACATTTTTATACCTGAAGGTCATATTTAAAAAGAGGGAGAGAGAAAAAAAAAAAAAAATCCCCTAGACTTACCCAGATCTCTTCATTTGAAAAATAATTACAGATTTATGAAAAAAAAATTAATATTTTAATTATTAATATTTATAAAATTTGTTATTAATTTTTAATAAATTTAGAGTAATGCTAGAGATCCCAAATATTTTATCAAATAACTGAAAAGAGAATTTAAAGAACAAAAATGTCTAAGACCTCATTTTTCCCCCTCTCTCTCATTAGTTAGATTTTATTTTTTTATTTTTTTGTTTCCCTTGTCCTCCAATCATCACCTGTCACATGTTCGTGGGGGGAGGGGATGGTGGGGGGGTGGTGAATAACAAAGAGATGACTAACAATATCTAACCAATTTATTATTATCTTTTTTATGAATAATTTAGGAAAAAATTACAGATCAATGGTAGTTTGAAAAATAATTACAGATTTATGAAAAAAAAATTAATATTTTAATTATTAATATTTATAAAATTTGTTATTAATTTTTAATAAATTTAGAGTAATGCTAGAGATCCCAAATATTTTATCAAATGTCTCATATGGGTGTGGTAGGACCCACATGAGACCCATATGATGTGAATTCCATAGACATTTGGTAAAATATTTAGGTCCCTAGCATTTTTTATAAATTTATTAAAATATGTGATATTTTTTCAATTATTTATTTAAATGTTATAAAATGAATTGTTGGACTCAAGTGAATAGACCCGGAATAGGCTCCAGCAAGACATAGAGTAGGCCCACCCGCTTAAACCGGGTGGGTCGGATTCGAAAGATGACAAGTTGATCCAATTACCCAGTAAAGATCCACCAAATCTGCTTATATCTATTTTAAGTACATTGTCAGTGCTGTTATCACGCGCTCTGAAGTAGCGTGCTAAACGCAACCTTCTCCTCTTGACATTGGACTAAAAAATTAAAATAATAAAATAAAATAAAATAGATTAAAAAATTAATAAAGTAAATTATTACATTAAAATTATAATTATTTAACTATTTTTCGAATAAAAATGGGACTAATTGGTGCATAAGTTCAAATTTTAGGATTTATTGGTAAATCTCCCTAAAATTTACAAAAATAAAAAAAACTCAACTCAAACAAGATTTTTTAATCTAAATTAAATAGTTAAAAAATTAAAAACTAGCCCAAGTTCTAAATAAAGCCTTAACTTCTTTTACTTTCTCTTCGATCGCGTAACCGACACGCCTCCACTCTTCAAGTGGAGTTGAATCTGCCACACAGGGGTATTATCGGTATTCCCTGCCAAATAGCTGGGGCAGTCTACATCCTCATGGACCCACTATTCAAGCGCAGGTTAGAAATCCAACGGCGCAAATTAATTAATAAATGCCCTCTCTCCTTCTCCCTATCTCTCTCTCTCTCCACAGTTTTCTTATGTTATTTTCCTTCTTTCCAATCACTCCCTCTCTCTCTCTCTCTCTCTCTCTGGCACAAACTAAATGCTCGCTTTCTCTCTCCTCCCAAATTTCCTTTTCCTTCTTTCCAGTCCTCTCTCTCTCTCTCTCTCTCTCTCAATCTCCCTTTTGTTATGCCCGTCGAAATTAATTGGTGTTGATGAATGGCTTTGAAGAGTAATTAGTTCTTACATCTCTCGAGATGTGATTCAGGGGAGAGAAAAAAATATGATTGATTTTTCTTGGGTTGTTGTTAGGGTTTTGTTGTTGCACAAAATCAGGAAAAGAACGTGAGAAGCGTGTTGTTAGCGAGAGAGAGAGAGGGGGAGAGAGATGTTGAATGCGAAGAGGCCTCACTTCTTCGAGGGTTTTAACCCTACTACGAGCTCTGAACGACTGGTAATATTTTAATTTCTTCTGTTTAGTCACTTTCTAGATGTATTTAAATATGTTGTTAATTTTTGTAGGAACATGTTTTTAGGGTTCTTTTGCAGAAATTGTTCTTGATTTTTATTTGCATGCGTTATTGGCAAAAAATTATAGTATGATTGTGAATGGATACTAATCTCTGGTTTATTATCATTGTAATTTATTAATTATGTAGAGTTGCAGAGAAACTAGCCAAAGAAAATACAAAAATAGGAAAAAAAAAAATTGTAATTTGTATGGCTCTAACTCAAAATTGTTAATTGCTATTTTGATAATGCATTTAATTATAAGCTAGAAAAGTTTGTGTGGTATGATTATTTTGTTGTGGTTTTGGAGACAAATATTTCTATTTGGACCTTTGTAGAAAATATAGGTTGTTGTGAAATCTCAGGAAACTAGGTTGAAAACCATTTGATTTCTGCTATTTCATTGCTTGATGCAATTTCTAGCTTTTTAAATACTTTCTTATAAGAAATGTGGTATACTGCCTAATAGAACTCATATACTAGACTATGTAAGCATTGTTTTTAAATTAACAAAGTGGTCTGGTAGACTATTGTCTGTAACTGGTAAAATTAACCTATGCCGATATGTTGCCCTATTAGGCTGATTGAAATTGGGTTAGATTAGAAATCAATTTCCCTTAAAGTTACATGTAATAATACAATTGTCTTACACGGGTTTGGTTGATGTCTATATGGAAACTAATTTTATGGATTTATACTCTTAGACTCTTTTCTGTTAGTTTCTTGATGGAATTTTATTGCGCTGTTGCACAGTGGCACAATCCTAATGTTTCTCTTACAGAAAATTCCATCTAGATTCATAAAACACTTGGAAGGCAAGACGAATGGAACTGTTTCATTGCTGGGTCCCAGTGGGAATACTTGGCATGTTGACTTGATTCAATACAACGATAATTTATTCTTCCATGATGGGTGGGCAGCGTTTGTGCAAGATCACTTCATGGTACATGGTGATACGATGGTATTCAGATATGACGGTAGTTTGCGTTTCACGGTGCAAGTTTTTGATCATAGTTCCTGTGAGAAAGAAGCTGCATTTAATGCTGAATGCAGTCAAGATCCCAACCAGTTTGATGAACTTATGGGAAGAAAGAGAGACAGGGTAGGTGGAGATTCTTTTCTGGATGGTATTTTTGAACATGTGCCAAAGAAAATCCGAGGATCTCAAGTCAATTCTGAATACATAGCCAAGAACCAAGAAGGATGGCAACATGATGATGTGGCATCTGCCACTGAAATATGCCCAGCAACCATTTATGCTCATGAAACGGGAAACTACTGCAGCCCATCAAAGAATGCTGTCAGTGTTGCTATGCCTCTTCAATCTATTGTTCCCAAGGGCAACTCAGGTAAAGTGCAAGCTATTAGTCCATCATGATCTAACTTTTCTTCCTGGGAAAGAAGAAAGAAAAAAGAAAAAGAAAAGGAGTTATTCCAAGTTTGTGGTATGCTTAATATTTCGTATTCCAATCTTATCCATAACCTTTCTTGCAATCTGTGAAATAATTTCACTGAACATGTTTACACGAGTTATTCACACATCTTGGAATTCAAAACTAAATTGAGCTTTTGAAAACTTAAACAGAGGCAAGATGTATGCTGACATTGTCAGCATCTGAAGCAGAAGGACTTGCTCGGTCATTTACCTCCTGCTATCCTAATTTCACGAAAACTATGAAAAGGTTCAATGTTAGCGGTTCATATACTCTGGTATGTAGTTACCTTACGTTTCTCTTTGATTTTTGACTTAAGATCTGTCTGGTGTACAACGAACAATATTTTGATTAAATCTATTTCCTTAGAAAACTAGATTGTAGTTGAAAGACAATAAACTTATAAGTGTTAACCAAGTGAAGTTTTTCTGTTGGCTGAGTTTTTCTGTTTATGTGCATCCACACGCCTATAGCTCTCCCCTTGTTTCATTTGTTTGGATAGCTGCTTCTTGGAACCATCTACACTCAACTCCATACCAAACCAAGTAACGAACTATGCCTTCATTTGGCATAAAGCCAAACAGGGCTTTTGGCTAAAATAGCCACAAAAAGACAAAGTAAGCTTTTTAGCTCAATAAGATAAAATGTCACATCCAAACTATAATCATTTCATTTTTTCTCTCACAAAAGTCAAAAAAATAAAAAAACTTATTCCAAACGAGATTTTTTAGCCTCAGGCTAAAATAACTAAAAAGCCAACCCATATCCCAAACGAACCCTATGTAGTCCAGTCGTTAAGGGAATGAGAGTGCCTTGTAGAGGTCCCATCTAGGAATCTCGCACCGTTTTCCATTTGTCATGGTTTGCAAAGATGTTCCTCATAGGTTTATTGAAATATGGTGGCAGATAATAGCAAACAAGGTATGTACTGGATTTTTCTCTTTCTTGTGGAACTTCATTTGATATGCAAGCTGAGCTACTTGAGGGGCTCAGTGGTTCTTTCATTAGGATCACTAAACTTTTTGATTTTTTCTCTCTACTGCTGACAGCTCTTACCATAAACTGTCAATTAATGAATGGTTTTCATGCAGAATATCCCATATCAGTTCTCTATGGCACATTTTCCGAAATGCAAAGTAAAGATTGTGCTTCGTAATCTGAAGGGAGAAAGTTGGACTGTTAATTCGGTCCCAACTATAAAAGTGCACATGTCTCATACTTTCTGTGGAGGATGGATGGCTTTTGTTCGTGATAATAACATCAACATGGGAGACATCTGTATTTTTGAACTAGTGGGAAAGTGTGAATTGTGTGTGTATATTCTTAATGTTGGAAAGGAAGGGCTAGAGTGTCAAAATGGTAAACCAACTTTTAAGGCGTTAATCAATGGGTGTGCTGCTACTTCACATAAAATCTCTGAACGTCTGCCAAAGAAAATGAGAGGGAATGCAAGTAAAGTCTCTCTACAATTGATAACAAGGGTTGAAATGTCTGATAAGAAAGCCTTTAATCGCGAGGACAAAGCAAATGATAGACCATCAAAAAGTTCTGCTTTCTGCTCCCAATTAAAAGCCAGTGGAAAATCGGGTAAGGTTTCTAATACTCCCCCATTGGGCAAATTTTATATGCAAGATTTGTTCTGACACCTTACATTTCTTATCTCAAATGAACATCTGAACTACATAATTGAAACAGCAATCCGGAACAAAATTAGCATAGAAGAGAATCAGGGTTCTTACACAAGAGGTTGCATGTCAATGAAGTCAGCACCTGAAGAAAAAAGAGCGGCTCAATCTTTTGTTTCGAACCTTCCTCACTTTGTCAGAGTCATGAAGAAGTTCAACATTAGTGGTTCATATACTCTGGTGAGTAGTTACCTTTCTGTTTTCAAATAAAACCAAAGTTCAACAAAACAGTCAGTGCATATTATCACTCCATAGACCATAATACCTATGCATCATGTTAGCTAAAATTGATTTGTCACATTGAAGAACCAAAAGATAAAAGAAATCATAACTTAGAAGGAAATGCACAGCGTGTCCCTCCGTGCATTTAACATGGTAAGAAAATTCCCAAAACATGTCCCTTTGTGTCCCCGCTGAGTCCTCCCTTGTGGAGAAAAAAAATTATTAAAAAAATGTACATGCCACGTCGTGTGTTGGACATGTGTCTCCATGTATCTCATAGGCCTACTCAATGGATTTTATTGACGAGGACATGCGGTGAATGAGGATCATATTTTTATTTTAAAGGTGACAATTTATGTGTGCACATTTTTGTATGTATTTCTACTATTATTACTAAAATTTTAGAAGTTTTAAAACGAAGTTTATGATTAGCAAGTAGAATTCTTTTTAGTTCATTATGGAGCCACATTGTTTTTCCATTAAAAAGTCTGTTAGTAGAGATTTTTATTTTATATATTAGCAAATACTAGAAGATCAAAACAAATACCACACATATTTATTCGGGGCTAAAGGACAGACCTGCTGACACAAGGCAGGGACTTAGTAAGCCCTCAAGTAGTATTCTATTGGAATTTGGAAGTAGAGACCCTTTGATGGGATTATCTCCTAACCTGGTGAATATAATGGTTCGTTCTTCTCCATTTAGTGAACTCAATGTGTTCAGACTTCGGACTATTTTTTATTTTTATGCTATCATCTCTTACTATCCGGTTTCCTGAACTGACTGGTTTTCGCTTTGCAATGTACAGAAAGTCCCATATCAGTTTTCTATGGCACACCTTCCCTCATGCAAAACAGAGATTGTCCTTCGTAATTTAAGAGGGCAATGTTGGACTGTGAACTCAGTTCCATCCACAAGAGTGCAAACATTACATACTTTCTGTGGTGGATGGATGGCCTTTGTTCGTGGCAATGACATTCAGATGGGAGATATCTGCATTTTTGAACTTATTGGCATATGTGAAATGCGGGTCTACATATCAGGGGTTGGGAAGAAAGGGCTAGACTATCAGAGTGGAAAAGTAACTTCTAATGAACTTTAACTGCCACTGGTCATATTGTGGTGAGAATTGTTCAGCCAACCTGATTTTGCTTCTAATAATGGATGCTTTTACATTTTAATTACTGTTAGCTTTCTGCACAAGCATGAATTTTAGTCGTGGCCATTATAGGCTAAAGCCAACAAAACCATACCATATGCTAGCTTTACGCATGACAGTGCCTTTTTGGTCAAATTTGTTTTTCTATTGTTGGTTGAGGATGGCACTATTATGCTGATTTTTTATGTTCTTTCTTTGCAACTGAATTGTGATAAATTTACTGTCTATATAATTTTCTAGCAACTTGCCTCCCTTTTTCTCTTTTCACATTAACAGAGGTCAGTAGGGGTATGGTTGTGGAAATGTGTCAATGACTAATAAGTAGGTTCTGGATCAAAAGTAACAATCATTAAGAGAGTTTGACGAGATAAGGTTATTATTGACAAATGCATGACAGCATCTAATACGGCAGGCACATCTCTGCCTCTTAATTATGTTAAATGTGTTCTAATAAATGTTTGAAATGTAGTTGGTTAGATTATTCAAAGATATTTATGTGCATAGTATTATCCTTTCATATTCTATTCCTGATTATGAGTCGACACCAGGGTGGTGTTGGGGCATTGTTATTGGGTGAGGTAAACAATAATCTATGATGGTGGAAGGATATACTTATTATGTCATTTAGTGGTCAAAAGGATATGGAAGCCTTGTAGTCCATCCAGCTTTCTCTCTATTTTACCAACAAATTTCGTAATTTCTGGTTCTTCCATACAGTATAATAGGATTTACATCTTTCACACCAAACAACATTTTGGGGAAACCAACTTTCTTGGGACTTCTTATTTTCTTCCCAACAAAAATGATAGTAAATAAAATGAAATTAACGAACTATACATTAGGAGGGAACAATTCCATTTTGTCAACTAAGGCTGCTTTTCATTATTGTAATGCTAGTAAACTATCTATCTTGTTGAAGGTTTTGCATGGCATGGAATGTTTATTCTCCAATTATATATACTTTATTCCTTTTTTTTTTTCCGTTGTTGTTGCTATTTTTGTTGTTTATTTTAGTTCCTCATGGACCTAGCCATTGTAAGCTTTGGTGTTGTCCTACTACAACCTTCCTCCTTTCTTTGGCCTTAGGACCGGTTGTGTTAAAGATAAAATAATGAGCGTGTTACAGTAGAATCACTTGAGATGGTATGACCACGTACATCATAGAACAATTTGTCGAGGAATTAGGGAGCCTACAAGCGCACAGCAACACCGACACAATTCATCAGGGAGAAAATCTAGACTCCACAGACACCATATCAAGACCCAACATACATTATTTGGATCTCATACTTACTTAAAAGCTTGAACCTATAAGTGGAGAGCTCATCTAATGTATATTAAGACCCATATTTTTTACTCTTTTATCCAATGTGGGACTCTATCTACACATATGCTCCAACAATCTCCCCCTCATGTGTGAACTAAACATTGGGCCTCGCCTTGCTCCTCTTCGAGTGTGATCTATTATCAACAGGTTTATCATAGATCATACACACTCCCCTTAATCTTGATCTATAACACTCCAACATTGAGTCTAACTTGCGCCACCCGCACACATTCCATCGTGAGTCACCATACTCTATTGAGAGCAACCTTGTTGTGGTTCAACCTTACCACGTGCACCAGGAATTTTTTTCACTCCATCAAGTGTTGTCATGGATTTTTCTTGCTGCATTGAATGTCTTCGGGCAAAACCCAAGGCCAACAACATCAATGTTCCAAGAGAGCCCGCCCATAGATCGTCTGCCATCGGCTCTAATACCAGATGTCAGGGAATCAGGGAGCTCACAAGCGCACAACAATATTGGCCTAATTCATCAGGGAGAAGCTCCAGAGTCCACAAACACCACATCAAGACCCAACATACATTATTTGAAACTCATACCCACTTAAAAGCTTAAACCTATAAATGGAGAGCCCATCTAATGTATATTAAGACCCATATCTTTTACACTTTTATTCAATGTAGGATTCTACCTTCACACATGTTCCAACACAATTAACAAGGAAGGTGTAACTTGATCCATGTGGACATGGTAAAAGAAATAGAGGAAGTTCAAGGAGAAAATGGATGATGGTGAAATGCCTTACATGGTCTACGGAATGAACACACCACTAGACTTTTCTGGCGGAATTTGATGGCTTTAACTAGTGGCAGTAGCATAAAGGAAGCTGCTACTAAAGTATTTTTGGGGGTGTTTTGGATTGTTGCCATATTCCTAATCTTGAAAACACAACATTGATCTGATTTTTACAAGTATGGGTAGAATCTATTATTCATTATCATTATGGAGTTGGCATAATACTAGTTGCCATCCGTTGAATTTTAATTTTGGTCAACTGAAAGGGAAACCAATGAGAATAGAGTTGTAAGTGTTATAGGCTTTTTATTTTATTTAAATAATTGTAAACGTGGTTGCCTTACCAAAGAGGTCTGGCAGTGGTTTTGTTTAGGACTCTTTGAAAAAATTGGTATTAAGAAGGCAGTGATGGCTCCAAAACAACACCCGATCACCTTTAACTGTTACCTCTGATATATCATTCATTTCTTCAACTGTTCATGCAGAAGTTTAGTTTTATATTTTTCAGTAGGATTAAAAAAGCTTGATCTCTCTGCCTGTGTGCATTTTGGTGAATTAACCTCGTCATGGTAGCATTTTTGTGCAGGGTGGTTTTCATTTTTTGGAGATGACAAGAGAGAAGACTAGCACAGATTTGAGCTCATCGTGGTATAGGAAATTTTGGTGCATCTGTGGAACAATCTGTAAAGGAAATTGATGAAATCATGATGTAATTAGGTTGAAAACATCGGTGGGTGTCTCTGGTTTAGTGTGTTATAGTGGCTTCTGTCATGCATTCTGATGAAAGTATATCTGTGGAAATTTGTGTTTGAATCTTCATCAAGTCAGGATCAATGCTTAGCCCTAATCACTGGAAGTGATACAATGATTTAGGGTGTACCAATTTGGAAAATGTTAAATTGCCTAAGCATTTAAACCTTGATCCTGAACAAGAGTTTCTCTTTTATTTTGTTTATTTCCCCTTCATTTTCTCAGGAAAATTCCCATTTTCCAGCATTGAATAATTCTTGAAAATTGAGTCATGGCCATAACTGTAAGTGAAGCTATAAGAATGTTCAAGGCTTGATACGTTCTTGGTATTTAGAAAGGAGAGTTTAGGGTTTGCTTATTTTGACCAAAATCATTGTTTTAGAAGGAAGAAAAGTATAGTTTTTTTTTTAATTATTTTTTTTTAATTTTTAAATAAATCTTCTAGGAGGATTTTTCTACTTGTTGAATCCCAAGGTTGGTGAATCACTAAAATCTTAACAAACAACTCCAAAGATAGTAAGTTTCGATTTAGCTTAACTCATTTGTTGCTTTAGCATCTTATGTGAAATCTCATTTGTAGCTTTAGCATCTTATGTGAAATCCCATTATTTCAATATTGGCTTTGTTTGGAAAGTTGGTTATTTGGTTGGAAAGCTGGTTGGTTTTTTTTTTTTTATAGTTGATTTGATGGATAAGAGAGAAAAAGTGAAATAATTATGGATTGGATGTGATATTTTGTTTTATTAGCTATTTTAGTCTATTTTGTCTTTTAGTATATTATTTTAGCCTAATTCTCTTTCCAAATCACTCCCACAGTGTGAGACTGACGAATACAATGTTAACAAACAAGATAGTAAAAATAAGGGTTTTGATTTAGACCACTAAATCAGCAGTACTATTGCTAGGTAATGAAAGACAAAGAAATAAAAAAAAAGAAAAAGCTGCATTAGGAGATGGGTCTTACCAATTAGAGTTCTTTTAAAGTTCTTAAATTAGTGACCTTAAGCATTTTTTTTAAAAATAATATGATGTGCAGTGTTATGGATAATTTTTTTCAAAATTTATTAATTTATATTGCATTGGACAATTTCTAATTCTTTATCAAATTTAAATTTTGATAAAAATATAAATTTGGTAAAAATAAAATCCACACAATTCAGCAAATATGCATCAAATTAAATTAAAAAAAAAAAAAATCATCAAATGAGAGTTGCATGATGCATCAAGACCCTCATCAATTTCAAAGGAGTTGGGTCGCGGGAAGACTTTCTCAAAAGGGTATTTATTTATTTTTACACTTAAATTTGATAAAATTGTTGATGATAAAAAATTGAAGCTTATTTTTTTACCTGAATTGATTAAATGAAGATTTTGGGATAAATTAAGGCCTCGTTTGGGAAGCTACCGGTTTAGCTAAAAAGTGAAAAAGTTATTAAAAAAGTCAATAATTCATACCAAAAAGTTAAAAATTCTCTTTTCTCTTTACTTTTTACACATCTTTTCGTAAAAAGTCAATAAGTCATTCTAAACATACTAGTTTTTTTTAGCTCATGTTTTAGCAAAATAGTTAAAAAATTACTAAATTAGCCTGTTTTCAAATGAGGAAGTATTTTTAAAAACATTTGATTCAAAATTTAATTTTCATTATTAGAATAAGTTTTTTATTTTATTTTTTTATAATAAGTTTATTTTATTTTTCAAAATTTGATTCAAGATTATTATTATTTTTTTAGCAGTAATGATTTAAATCCTTACAAAACATCACCCATACAATCTCCATTCGCTTGTGATTGGTTTAAGTAAAAAAGAGAAAAATAAAATAAAATAAAATAAAAAAGGGCGCTGCTTGAGGGCCCGAATTTCGGGGCTCGAATGCCCCGAAAATTCCACTTTAGGTAAAAAAAAAAAAAAAAAAAAGAAAGAAAAAAAGAAAACAGTTTAAAGAAAAAAAGAAAACAGTTTCTAAAAATGGAAATTAGGGGCATTAGGGGCAAATTTTTTAGGGCCACCAATCATTTTCCATAAAAAAATACAAACACATTATTGATTCACATCACTGTGAGAGTGGTGGAGTTTTCTCAAAAGAAGATCCCAAACATTTTCTAAGTAATAAAAAGTCAAAAAGTTTTCTTTCGTAAAAAGTTACATTTTGCAGCTTCAAAATACAGCCAACAACTTAGTTTTTTTTGGCTACAAATCATTTGGGAAGGTAGCAAAACACAGCATGTGAAATTACATCAACTACCTTTCAATTGCAAAATGAGTCACATGGGTGAAATTGTAAATTTTTTAAATTAGGTGAGAGATATTTGATCATTTTATTGTGATGTAATATCATAAATAAACATTAACTAAAAAAGTCCAAAGCAGCTTTTTATTCATAAATCACTTTCTAAAAAAACAAAAAAGTTTGATTAAAATCTAAAAGCTAACTTTTAATCATCTTTTCAAAACACACATCTCTTTCTATCTCACTGCCCAGAAATATTAGAGAGAAAAAAAATAAAATAAAAATTCGATACAATATTTTCATAAATGTGAGTCTTACATATATAAATATTATATAATTTTTTTTGATAATTTTCCTTTGGGAAAATTATATTAATAATTATTATATTTTGGTCTTTTTAATTTTAATTTGATTTTGATCAGAAATATTTAATTTTGTTTCGATTTGATGAAATTAATTATAATTATTAATATTATTTAATAAAAAATACGCACACGAACAATATATTTCATGTTTTTAAGGCAAAAATTGTAAACTCAAATAATTTGGTAAGTTAAATTCAACTAACTCAATGATTATTTTTGGTAAAAAAATCCTAATAATATTATTAATTTGATCAAATTAACATAAAATTTAAAATTAAAATTAAAATAATTAAAAATATAAAAATTAAAATAATACAAGGATAAAATGTAAAATATATATCGGTAATTCTAACATTAGTCGGAGGAGCGTAAGCGACAACTGGCGGGAGGGTGTCGGGAACAGCTCCCAAGTGTAGTTTTGATGGATGCCTCGTGGAAAGGAGTTTGGTTCATCATTCATTTACTTTCTTTCTACATGCAAATAAATTAAATCCAATCAAAATTGCTTACTGCTTATTCATTCATTACTTTACCTTTCCCACCCCTCAATTCTCCTTCCTTCCTTCCTTCCATCCAATTACTGGGTTTCATTGGGATTTGGGTAACTCTCTCTCTCTCTCTGTGTAATGATTTCTTTTCTTTTCTTTTCTTCAGAAAAGGCATGTGCATTTTGGCTTTGTAAAGAGTTGTAATGAATTAAGAACTTTATTGTAGTTTTTTTCGCTACATCGGAAAGAAAGAACTTTATTAGTATTTCACATGCATGCACAGACTGATAAGTAGTCAGATCTCTTGCACATTTTGAATTTTTTTTTGAAAATCCAAAATTCTTCTCTATGCTGTTCTTTCTTAGTATTTTTTTTTGTTTAATTTCCTAGATAGATTTCAAAGTATTTCTTAATTCGTTTCCTGATACTCTGAAAACCCTTGTTTGTTTGGGGAAAATTTCAGAGGGTAGTGGCAGATTGGGAGAAAGATTAGATGGGAGAAGAGTGCAGAAATTGTAGGAAATGGGAAGAGGATATGTATTGGACCCATTTCCAGTCCATTCTTTTCTGTCAGTTTCTCTCCACTGGTTTCGATCAGCAACTCGTGAGTTCTACAATTATTTCTTATTCCTCTCTCTTTGTTGTTGTGTGTGAAAGAGTGATAGAATTGCTACTTCATAGAATTATTTATGAAAATTGTTAATTTCAACTTCTCTCAATTTGGAAAAACTGAATTCTAATTTGTGATTTTTTATTTTATTTAATAACATGTTTGTTTTCGGATGAGGTTGATTGGGATTGTGAGTACGGTGGAATTGACTTGACTGATGATGAGATTATTAGTGTTGTGGTTATTAAGTTGGAGATGTAAGGTAAAATGTTTTGTTTGTGCATAATGTAATGATATTAGTTGGTTGGGATTATATGTATTAAATTACTCAAAAAATATCAGTTGGTTGGGATTATAGTTGTCTTTGTTGGTTAAATTGGGGGTTAATATTGTCGTTTCTCCTCCAAATTCTACGATTGGATTAGCAATTCCAACCCCATGCTAATCCCACCTTTGGGCTTTTGGGGGATTGGTATCATGCCAAAATTCTAGGATTGGATTAGCAATCCCAACCCCATGCTAATCCCACCTTTGGGCTTTTAGGGGATTGGTATCATGCCATTTTATTACAAGAAAAATGTTTAAAATCGACAAAAAAGGCCCACAATTGTACCTACAATGATGTAATATTACATGTGTGAATTTTTGATTTGTTATACATTTAATAATATAGAGTTCCACCCTCTTGCCACATCATTGTGGATGAATTTGTGAGTTAAAAGTGTGGGTTTGTAATATTACTCTTATTACAAACAAAACAAACATAATTTTGGTGGTGTCACAGATTGTTAAATCAATCTCATCATCTAAGAGGCTAAACAAACATGGCTTCAAATAGTAAACAAAAACACTAGATTGATCCTAATATTCTATTTTTATATGCCTTTTCATTTAGCTCGATGGGATCACATAAGAAATATCACTCAAAACTTATAAATGCATTTTCAATTTGATGGGATCAGCTGACCCCATACTAATACACCTAGCGGCACCCCTGGTTGAGCTCTAGCTCAGCTCATACCTAGAAGGGTTGGTTAAGGTTGATCAAGTTTGAGCTTTACATTGTTGAATCTTGATATTTAATTTAGTCAAGTCTCATGCCAAAGTAGTTATAGTTTTTCGCCTGTCCCATCCCATTGAATTGACCATTATGACTTATGACTAATAGCTATTGCCATATATGATGCTAAAAAAATTTGGAAGTCATTTATGAAATCTTAGGTGCCCATATTTTGGAATTGTTGCTGAGATAAACAGAGAAATCTATTAAGTGTACCCAACTTTACCATGACTCCATTTACGAACTCTTTAGGCCACCATTTCTCTGCATTTGTGGGGCTGAGTCATAGAACTTTGGGGTGAAATCATATCATCATTTCACTTGCAATGCGTTTGGCACCATAGAATCTAAGCTTGGAATTGTAACAGGAATTGAACTAAGTTGGCCTCCAATTCCATGATGCCAAACACAACATTAGATTAAGTATTTGCTTAATAAACAATTATCAGTGACATGTTTGTAGATGTGTTCCCTAAATCGTACTATTTCATCTGATATAAAATCTCTTGGAACTTGCAAACAATGGGATAAACAATATCATGGGTAATAAGAGTAGTGCTCAAAGTTTGTCATATCCTTTGGTGCTTTGATCAAAACTTGCATTTCTTCTTTTGTAAATCTGATTCAGTGAAACTTGGCTATTTAAGCATTGGCATATCATCTGTTGATCATGTTTCTTTTTAATATCAGGCTTTCATTATATTTTCAACCATATGAAGTTGTTGGTTCATCTGTCCTCTTGGTCAGGACAGTAGAAAACTAGGACAGTGCTACTTCTGGTTATGATATTTTCCTCGGAGTTGGGATCCTCTAGAGTGATTTTTTTTAGAGTGATCAACTTTGGTAGAATTAAATCTCAGCCATCCAAACAATCATTCTAGAGGATCCTCACTCCTTTCGTCATAGTTCTTGCTGTTAGGCATTCTAGTTAGATTCTGTTTTATACAGTGGTCATTTGTGCTTTTGGTTAAGTGGGTTTCAATTCCCTTGTCTTGCTTAGAACATAATATTATTATTAATAATTTTTTATAAGATCAGGACATAGTATTGTAGTAAATACCTATAATGTTTTTGAAAGTTTTGAACTGGAAAGTAATTCTTTAAAATTTTTGCAGGCTATCCCCCAAAAGTTTGCCAACAATTTGAAAGAGAAATTACCAGAAAATGTAACCCTTAAAGGTCCAAGTGGTGCCAAGTGGAATGTAGGACTAATCACAAGTGGGGACACCTTGTTTTTCAAACATGGTTGGAAGACATTTGTGGAGAATCATTCTCTTGAAGAAGATGATGTCTTGATCTTTAAATACAACGGGGACTCAGGATTTGATGTTTTAATATTTGATGGACGGAGCTTATGTGAGAGGGAAGCTTCGTATTTTGTCCGAAAATGCGGACATACAGAGCTAGATGGTGGATGCCGGACAAAGAAAAACATGAGAGAGAGTTCTGTTGAAGTTATGCATGACTCTTCACATTATGTTGTGGACCGCACTCCATCAAAAAGACTGAGAAAGGATGACAATCTTATGCCAGTGCTATCGCGATTTCGTGGAAGAACTAGGAAGGGAGATAATTCTAGTAGACCTCATCATTCCAAGTGGGACATGAGAAGTAGAGAACCTTCTACATCTGCTGTGGGACCAAAGGTTAATCCCGGTAAGCTTCTCATTTTCAGTAACCTTATGCTTATCTTCAAATTTTATTTCAAAATTCTTTTGCATAATCATGTGGCCATCTAGTGGTTGGAGTCTGTTGCATGGACTCATGTACAGGTTTGGGTGTGGATGTAGAGGTCGGACCCATCAAATCTCACATTTAAGGGTATGCTGGGTCATATATATATATTTTTAATCTATTATGTGAGAAAAAATTATATTATATATAACATATTGTCAAAAAGGCATTTTACTCATTTTATAGCAATTATATGACAATATATTCATATAATGGTAGTGTTAAATATAAATATATAAGAAGTATGATGAAAGTATTGGACATATATCCCACACCTTTGTCCAAGTGTTGGGTTTGACATGAGTATTTGATTTATTTTGAAGAGTTTATGTAACATAAGTTGGAGTCCCTTGCTGAGAACTTGGAATTGCATTTTGCTTTCAATTTGTTCTGTTGTTTGTTTTGGAGGGTAAGCATGTTTTGTTTGGTTGTTTGATTTATGAATGATTTGGATGCACAAAAAAAAGGAACTGTAGGGGCCTATCCTCTGCAATATGTATCGAGCAGAAGAAGTATAACCGAGGAGGAGAAAGACAAAGCGTTACAAATGGCGCACGCATCATCAACCAAAGACAGTTTCATTGTAGTTATGCGACCCTCACATGTGTACAAGGGATTCTACATGGTAACGTCTCATTTGGTACCGAATTTGGTCATTATCTTAGATGTTCCAGTGCTTTTCCCTTTTTTTTTTTTTTTTTTTTTTTTTTTTTTTTTTTTAATCCAAAAGTTTTCAACTGCGATAGCAGTTTGCTAGAAAATGTCTTGACTGAGTGCCATATGTGCAATATTGTTTGATGCAGTCAATTCCTTCTGAATGGGCGACTTCCCATCTCCCTCGCAAGAGCCAAGAGGTGATTCTCCGTGTCAAAGAGAACATATGTGTTAAAGAGAACACATGGCATGCCAGATTTTATTACCGAGTTTATGGTGGTGGACTGACTGGCGGTTGGAGGAATTTTGCTGTAGAAAACAACTTGGAAGAATTTGATGTGTGTCTGTTTGAGCTTGCCAGTGGAACCAATGATACGATTTCCATGAACGTCAGTATCTACAGAGTTATTGAAGAGATACGTCCACTGACCCGCATGACCCCTCCCTCCTCGACCCGTGGAAAGAACTCAAAATATCTGAGGAGAAAACGTAACTAAGGGCACTGGTGTATGCGCTCTAGTTTGCCCTTCTTGTTTTGTGTTCAGTGGGTTCTGAAAAATGTTGCATATTTTGGCAAGTTTTTGGTCTGTTATTTGGAAGGACACATAATGTGCTCTTTTTTTTTTTTTTTATAATTATTATTATTTTTATATTAGATTTTATCGCCACTTTGCCAGGCTTTATGGCCTTGCAACTGTTAAGTTTGGGGTATGTTATCGTCTTTGTTATTTCTTTGCTCTCTTAAAATGGCATCGCTTTTACCCCATCTGGAAAAGATTTTGTGATGTGTTTGTTCTATCAAATTATTCTAGCAACTGTTAAGTTTGGGGTGTGTGAAAATGTTTCTGAAATTAGTGAAAAATGTTTAAAATAACAAAGACCAAGAGATGGAAGACTGAAGAACCCTTCATGTTGCGACACAATAATGCAAAATTTTCCCATTGCTTACAAATTGATGAATGGAGAATAAGACTACCTACCTCCAATTACAATCAAAATCTCAAATAGATTAACGGAGTTTTTCAACACTGAAGACCGTATTTGATTTTTATAAATGTTAAAAAAAAAAAGATCACACAATCAAATCTAGACTTCGGCATATTCTACAACAGTTGCCTCTACGTGACTCAGACTGAAACAGTGTCCCAAGAAGTAGGTTCGCTCACCATTAGGGATGATATTGGGGTTTACTCAGGCTGATGGTTTCTGACATGCGGAAAAGAGCTGCCAGCTAATGAAAGCCATTACCAGAGAGGTGAATAGTTCGAAGCCTACCACCTTTGGAAAGTGCCATCCCAGGCCACGCCTCAGATAGCTGCAAATATAAATGAGAAAAAACAATACGTTTTAGCTACAATAGCTGGAGAAAATATTCGAAACTACTATTATTCATTACTTAAACAAATGACAGTGACCCAATGTTGAAACAGACCTTGTGATTGAGGGCATTGTAGCCACTATCCCTGCACATGCATATATTATGGGAATCAAAGTCTTGGGTTTGTTTTTCCGAAGCCACATCAAGGATCCCAATGCAGCAAGAGATATACTCAACACCTGGATCATGGAAACAAAAACAAATCAACCAAGAAAGGACATTTTTGTTTTATACGGGGAAAAAAAAATCTCCACATCAGCAAGACTGATTCAACTCTATGTACCTTAGTATCAACTGAAAATATGAAAGAAGTCGTACCAGATTTGCATTCGCTTCAAGGCCTTGTAGAATGTAGTCCCAAGTAAATTCTAATCCTCTAGCACCCACCCAAAGGGGTGCCAACCGATGCAGAACCGAGTCGGCAAAAGCCCACCCTGCCAAAATAAAAACAATGGTTCCATACTGTCAATGAAGATAAAAATATAGAGTAACTATGTCCATTGAACAAAAGAACTACAGAATGGATTTCAATAGAAATTCACCAACTCAATTTCACAACAAACACAGCATACTAGCGTGAATTAAATTACAAATTAAAAATAAGGATACTACACATACATATGCAAATCACTGAGACACTATAACCTCTAGCACCCACCATGCCAAGAAAACTACTCCCCATCTTCTCAGTATATGATAATATGACTAAAAACAGTAACAACCATCACTATTTTATATTTTTTTAATAATAAATATAAGAGAAATAGAAATGAGCATTGTCAAATATTCTTAATAGGTGTCAAAACAAGTTTCGTTGAGTTTCCGTGTGTTTTGGTGTAGTGGAGGCATTGGAATTTCAGTATTCCACTAATGTTTCATTTTGGTTTCCTAAGAAATTAAAATGCTTCGGCCATTTCAATGGAAAACAAACAAAAATTTATTTCTTGATGTAATGAGCTGCCAAAATTAATCTTCCCTGTTAAAACCTACCATCACCTACTCCACCTACTACACCTACCACCACCTACTACCACCTACTACACACCTACCACTACCACCTACTACCACCTACTCCACTACATCTCCTATATAAGGAGCCCCTCACCATTTGTAATATATAACATTCAATCAATCAATAATACAATTAATATCTATACAATTCTCTATTTTTCTTTATACATTAAATTTCTACATGGTATCAGAGCAGGTTTAGAACCTAATATTTTCGCTTCCCCGGCGGGCGGCAACCTCACCTTAGCCGCCCGCCGGACCTCAACCTAGTCCGCAAAAAATTTCCTACACATACCTTGAAATTTCTTCTAGTCCACCACCTTCACGCCCAACTCCTTCGAGTTGCTGTCCTCGACTCACCCAGTCAACCTATCGCCACCAATTTTCTTCCTTGAAGCTTCCTCTTTTCTCTCGACTCGAGCGTGACTCAGCCCGTGTGAAATCGCTCCAGACCAGGTTAGATCTGGCGATTCGCGGCATTACTCAGTCGGCTCAGTGGAAAGCAACTTTCTCTCCAACCAAACAGCGGCAACCTCTCTCTGTTGTCGGTCGTTGTAGTTTGAATCTGAATCTTTGAAATTGTTGGTGAAAGACAACATACGTAGTTGCAGGTGGAAGCAAAGATGCCCAAACAAGCTGGAAATCGAAAAAAGGAAAGAATCGTTCTTGACTCGGTCGGTCAACTCAGTTTTCGCCTTCGTTCGATTCGCCGAGTTCGAGATCCTCTTCGTTCTCTTCTTCCTTGTAGCTTTTATCATCTTCAAGGATCTGACAGCTAGACCGGAATACAATCAGATCCTTGTGAAAAAGCCCGGTGGACCTGATTGGTGGTCTGACTAGGGCTAAGGCAGGCCTCAAATGGAGAATTGTCTCATCTCATCTTATGTCTGTGGGAGAGATCAAAGTGCCTTCAGTGATGAGAAATCCACCGGCTGTTGATCTCTGAACGTAATACTTAACTAGGGCTTCCCCTGGAATCTCATTCAGTGCTCTGCATCTAGTCATTGGTGCCAGCACCACCCTGTGAGAGAGCTTGAACTTTCCCATCTTGAAAGGAGAGAAGAGTTTTGCACAGACCCATTTTACTTTTCTTCTTTTATTATTTTTTCTTTTCATCCATTTACACCAAACACAACACCACACAGCTTCCAATACTATTATAAAATATTATCCCAAAAACATCCACCAGATCCCCTTTCATCATATCCACCACTATTCTTTTCTTTATCACCTATCTTTATATTATTATTATTATTATTATTCTTATTATTATTATTATTATTATTCATAAAAAAAAAAAAAAAATTCCAAACACCATTACTGTTTTGTTACGAATCCGTGTGATAAAGATTTGCACACCAAACCTTACCTTCTTTTATTCATCTCAGGGATCAACCCCGATCAGCATTTTACACCAAAAAAAAAAACAAAACAAAAAAAAAAAAACAAAACAAAACACACAAAACAACCACATCCACAGGCGTCACCCATTTCATACTACTCTGCCGCCGGTCTCTTCTTCTTGCCTCCGTCCTGAGCGGCCCTTACCGGTGCTGCCTCCATGTTTCCCACTCCACTGGGCACGATCACTACTCCCTCTCTCCACTACAGCATATGCGGACCTCCAAATCGGAACATCACGGTGGCCTTCCGCTTCAGCTCCTTATTTTCCGCCTTTAGCACACTTATCTCTGCTCGCGCATCCTTATACATGCGCTGAGAGAGCCAGTTGGGCGTTTAACTGCTGCACCTCATTTGTCCTACTCTGCAGCCGGTGCGACAGGTTTGTGACCGCCGTCATGGTCTCCACACATGACTTCAAAGTATACTGATTTGCCTCAATATCCGTTTGCACCGCCATTTTTGCTCCACCGACCGCATCGGAAAGTTCAACGGAGCAAAACCAGAGGCGCTTGGTTGAGGTTCACTGGCCACCGCACCAGTTATCTCTCTTGTTGACTCGTTGAGGTCGGGAAAGAGAGTGAGCAGACCACGAGACAAGAGGCCATATTCTGGGTAGCTGAACGGGAAGACGAGGCCATGTTATGGGTTGTGAGTGTTTCAGAGAATGGTTGGTTACAGAGTGTTTACAGAGTGTTTCAAGATTTGCAGCTCTTAGCGACAAGCTCTCAGATAACGAAGAGGTTTCAACTGGTTTGTTATGCTTCCAAGCCTCAGCCTCCGCTTCGGTTTATAAAGACCATGATGAAAAGGCAGACATGCGCATCATGCGCCTCTCGGTGCTCGCCGACAACTTGGGCGTGCCTTTTGATGGCACGTCTTTTGATGGCACGCCTTTTTATGGATTGGGCACGCCTTTTGATGGCACGCTTTGACAGTGGCACACCTTTTGAGGGTGCGACTTTTTATGGGTCCGACAAGACTCTGTAAACTGTCCCGACATTGATTCGGTTAGCTCCTTCATGGTCGACAAGACTTGTAAACTGTCCACATTGATTCCGGTTAGCTCCTTCATGGGTCCGACAAGACTCTGTAAACTGTCCCGACATTGATTCCGGTTAGTTTTCTACAAGGGTCCAGCAAGACTCCGTAAACTGTCACAACAACTGTCACAACATTGTCTGCTACAACGGTCCGACATGACCCCATAAACTGTCTTCTACATCGGTCAAACACGAGCCAGTGTCTTTCTACAATCGGTCTGCCATAACCACCGTGTCTTCTACAACAGTCTGACACAACCATACAGTGTCTCCTATCCATTTTTTATTTTTCAGATTATTTTCTTGTTTTGTTACTCTCTCCAAACTCAAGTTGGTTAGTTCCTATCCCCCTTGAGTTTGCGGGGGGCTGTTAAAACCTACCATCACCTACTCCACCTACTACACCTACCACCACCTACTACCACCTACTCCACTACATCTCCTATATAAGGAGCCCCTCACCATTTGTAATATATAACATTCAATCAATCAATAATACAATTAATATCTATACAATTCTCTATTTTTCTTTATACATTAAATTTCTACATTCCCGTTAGCCAAAAAATTACTTTCTTACCACATGTAAGAGCTTGTACCAAAACAGATTACAAGAGTTTTTAGATCGGAATTGCTATTGAGCATTAATTGAAAGAGAACACAATATAGAGTTTTGTTATATGATGATTATATTGTCCATGCTACTATCTCTAATTCAGTAGAGTTACATTTCTTAATGGCAATATAACCACTTGGGAAACAACGTAAATATTACTAAACAGGAGATGAGAAAGTGCCTATCAAGGTATCAACTATGATGAAGCATCCACACTTAAAACGGGTAAGGAACTCATCAACTGTGAGCAACTCTGGTTTTCTATATTTGGATGAGATTAAGAGAGTATATCACTAGTTATTTGCCAAGAAAACTACGAATGAAAATGTCAATGTCACAACAGCTAGGCTAAATTGACCTAACACATAAAAGTCCAGGAACTTATTGATTTAATTTAATGGGGGGTAAAAGACCAGAGATGTGAACAACCTAACAACCAAAAATCTTTGTCCACATAGGAGTTTACTCACCAAGTCCTACCGCTTGGAACTTATGATTTTGAGAGATGTTCCTGTGAGTCAACTGGGTCAATGCAAAGTAAAGCCCAGCAACGTCTATAAAGCCAATCAGAGCTTTCAATAGTTCCTGAAAATGAAAACAGAATAGTACTTTATAACACAGGTGAATAAACAATTTATCCTTAATGCCGTATTTATTTATTTTTTGTTTGAGAAATTAAATTTTGCAAATCACAAGCTATATCATATATTTTCGCACTTTTACTTCAATATTATTTGGTCCCCACTAAAATGTGAATTTAGGTTAAGATGGAATAATTCATACATAGTCACAGTTCAACACTTCAAAAGAATCAGTCAGCTTAGAATCTTAAAGTTGGTACTATACTAAACATTTCATGTCAATGCAGAAGCAACAATACATGAGATAAACATAAGACACTTTCTCTTCATACAACTCGTAAGTGACATGATGCAACTTTGAGATGTAAACACTAGCACAATCTAAAATTAACTTACTCTTTCAATTTCATCCATTTTAATACAGATCATGAGAGAGAAGAAATTCCTCAATTCTCACATAGATGGGAGATAGAGTTGAGTACTGGAAGGATCAATGAACAAGCACCAAATAATCTCCTCTATACATCAGTGTTTTTTTCTTATTAATTGCATAATAATGACTGAACAACCAAAGTCCCGATCTTCAAAGATAAAGTTAATAGAAAAGATAATAGAGGAACAAATATTTGTAACGAGTCTCAGATATCATTAATATTCAAGTCCATGAACATGGTCAGAAAGACCATAAAACCTGCAAAATGATCTAGTAACAAAAAGTAGTAGATTTCTTTTTCTTTTTCTTTTTATTATAATTTCTGTGTAATAAAGTGTGAATGGATTTTTGTCCATCTAATAATATTAAAACATAATTGAAAAGAATATTATATACACATATATACCCAGATATATGATTGCATATTGTTCATAAGGTATTACATATAGTCACCTCATGCTCTCACAGGTTGGCTCATAAAATTAGATTCTAATACTATGATGATGAACGTAAGGACTTAAGGACTTCAGCAACACAATCTTCCATATAGAATCTAAAGTCTAAACACCCAATATCACAGAAACCCCAAAAAAAAAAAAAAAAAAAAAAAACACAATGGATCAATGAACAAGCACCAAATAATCTCCTCTATACATCAGTGTTTTTTTCTTATTAATTGCATAATAATGACTGAACAACTGAAGTCCCGATCTTCAAAGATAAAGTTAATAGAAAAGATAATAGAGGAATAAAAAAAAAATCCAGAAAGTACCTGATATGGATCAAAGCTGTCATTTTCAGACACCTTAAGAAAGGTTGCCAGGCAAACAAGCTGTTGCAGGGGAAACAAAGTGTTAATAGAAATTAAGAGTATGAAGCTGGAGATGAGAAATATATCCATTTCGAGAAGATTAGACGTAAATCAGAGATACAAAAATGAATCAAATGAAAGGTCAAGCAGCAGCGTGAAATAGAATCAACCAACCTTCACTAATGCTGTTCCAAGATAAACAACAGCAGCTTTAACAGAAGTACCAAGAGTATCATACTCCGACCTGTAAACAAATACTTATTAATGCAAATGCAATTCATACAACGATAGCAAGTAAAACTAGACAAGAATTAATGCAACAAATTAATGGCCACAAAATAATTTATTTCACTGGATATAATTCATGAGGATTTAGAAGCGAAAAAAAAAATCCATAATCAAAATTATAAGTGAATAGAAGTTGCAGCATAGCTAAACATAGCAACAATAATCACTAATGTTAACAATTCATCTATATTTGTAACAGATCATAATACGCAACATAAATGCCATGCTACTCCTTCAAGTATTATAAAAATCAAGGGGAAAGCATCAAATACTATGAGTGCTAAAAAATATTGAATTGAAGCTCATTTAAAAAAAAAATAAAAAATAAAATAATAATAATAATTTACCATTACACATAAACACTTACACTTAACTAATAAAACTGAAAAATTAAAACACCTTGCGTTATCAACATATTCTCGTAATAAATTTGCCTATAATATTGCATCAATTACGATACAAAATCGAGTATATTGAACAATTGCAAACAAAAAACGAAGAAAACGCATCACTCTTCTCCAAATAATACACATCGTGTCTCTAATTGAGAATCAATGAAAGACCAAAATTAATGTCGAATTAGAAAGACTGCGAGAGATGTGAAAACAGATTCACACTTGGATCGAGAACAGATCTGAATATAATTACTGAAGAAACAAAGCAAAACTGGAGAGAGATAGTAGAGGACTTACAGTGGGGTCGCAGAGTAGTAAACGGCGTGAGGGCCGAAAGTGAGAATTGCGCAGTTGAAGAAGTGGAACACCGTCATTCTCTTCTTTTTTTTTTCTCTCTGGAAGCGACGGTGACAACAAGATATCCAAACAGAGAAAGAAATCGAACGTAGCACAAGTTCTTCCTTCCTTCGCTATAACTGACGGATCGATCGATATACATACGATTGATGAGGGTGACCGCACTGTAGTTTTTCTTAGGGCATTAATTGGGCTTTCTTTCGTCTGAGATATGGGCCTTAAGTGTGCCCAGAAACAAAGCCCAGATCCAGAAAAAAAGAGAATGGAAGTCTGGCCCAATCCAGTAGTTTGCCCACGGGATAGGTTTTCAAGTCTTGCCCAGTTCGTTGCATTGTACATCGATGTGCCATAATCCTGCTAAATCGGGAACTTTGGCCTGGTTTGACTAATAGCATTAATAGTGAAAAGATTAATAATTTCATCAAATTAGTATATGATTAATTATTTAATTAAATTAGTAAGATACTCATTTATTATGTATTCATTTTATTTTTTTTCCTTTCATACTTGAAATTATGATTCCCAACTTCTCTTAATATTTAAAATTTGCCAAATTCATCAAATTGAATATTTGCTATACATGTAATCTAATTAGTAAAACTTGTAATTAAATTTGAGATTGTGAATTCATAAACTAACAATCTTAATTTAATGTTATAAGCTTACTAATCAAACATGTCCTTTGGAATTAGCCACGACTAGGCTGCTAGGGTGAATTTCGTGGAATTGAAGTCTATCCAGACAATTTGAAGAGTGGAGAAATTTGAGCCTGAGCCCGGGAACTTGTTGGTCCAAACCTATTTCCAAATTTAACTCAAATAATTGAGGCTAAGTTCCAATAATGCAAATTCAAACATAAAAAAATTGTTATAAAATGTATTATAGCTATGAAATCCTTTCTTTCACCATTTAAAAAAAAAAAGGAACTAATTTATTGCAAAAAGAAAATTAAAAAAGAAATATAATAAAAAATAATATTAATTTATATATATTAACAACAGGCTTCAAGTTGTTTAGATTGTGAAAACTCCTATCCAATCCAGTCTAAATTTAATTTAAGTTATCAATTTTCAGCTGAGGCCATTGAAAAAAAAATGTAGAGAGAAAAGTAAAGCTCTGTATGTGTTATTGTATTAAATCAAGTACAATGACTCCTATATTTATAGGAGGAGAGAATGTACACTAATTAGGAAGGTGCATCACTAAGCAGGAAGGTGTATCAATCACACACTAAATATAGCAGGTACAATAATCACTATCAATTAACAATATATGACTCTATATATATACACTAATAACCCCTTGCAAACTCAAGGTGGATAGACATCAACCAACATGAGTTTGGAAATTAAATCACTAAAACGACCAAGGCGATGAACCTTGGTGAAGATATCAACAGACTGATCAGGAGAGGCAATAGAATGGAGATGGACTGTGCCATGAACCACGTGCTGGCGGAGAAATGGCAGTCGATCTCAATATGTTTAGTGCGATTGTGGAAAACATCATTACGAGCAATTTGAATGGCACTTTGGTTGTCACAGTAGAGAGAGGTAGTATCAGTAGAAGCGACACTCATGTCAGCAAGGAGCCATCAGAGCCATAGAAGTTCCTGGGTAGTATCTGCAAGAGCTCGATATTCAGTCTCAGTATTAGAGTGAATAGTGAGAGTCTGTTTCTTGCTGCGCCAAGAAATAAGTGAATCCCCTAGAAAGAAGCAAAAGCCAGTAGTGAAGCGACGATCAGTGGGATCCCCAGCCCAATCAGCATTAGAATAAATACGAAGCTTGAGAGAAGATAGAGAGGAATAGTGAAGACCATGAAATAAAGTGCCCTTGAGATAGCGAAGAATGCGAAGTAGGGCATCATAATGAGGTGCGCGAGGAGCCAACATATGCTGACTGACAATGTGGATAGCATATGAAAGATCAGGACGAGTAACTGTAAGGTAGATAAGACTGCTTACCAACTGCCGGTAGAGGGTAGCTTCGGGAAGAAGAGTGCCATCAAGAGAAGTAAGACGAGTCTGAGGATCAATTGGAGTACAAGCAGTTTTGCAATCAGTAAGTACAGCTTGAGCGAGAAGATTAGAAGCATATTTGGCCTGAGAGAGAAAATAGCCAAATGAGTCACGAGAGATTTCAAGACCCAAGAAATAATTGAGAGTACCAAGATCCTTCATCTCAAAGTGGCAGCTAAGAAACTGTTTGAGGCGAAGAATACTAGCCTCATCATCTCCGGTGATAATCATATCATTCACATAAAGAAGAAGGAGAGTGGTGCCTTGAGCAGTGATGCGAATAAATAAAGCCGAGTCAGAGGAGCTAGAAGTGAAGCCAAAGTCATGTATAGTAGCACTGAACTTAGCAAACTAAGCACGAAGAGCTTGCTTGAGTCCATATAAGGCTCGTTGTAGTTTGCAGACTTTATGGGCCGGAACAGTAGACCCAAGAGGGGCTTGCATATAGACTTCCTCAAGAAGATCACCATTGAGGAAGGCATTTTTCACATCCATCTGAAAAAAGCCCCAATTACGAGTAGCAGCAATAGCAATCAAGCTATCACTACAAGAATTTTCACTTTTGACAACTAAATTTTTAGTCGCCAAATGGTTTTAGCGACTAAATTATTTGGTCGCAAAAGTAATCGCCAAAAAATTGTCGATAAAGGTAATTAGAGACTAAAATTATTTTAGTCGCCAAATGTATACAATTCCCGACTAAAATTTTAATCGCTAAAAGGTTGGACATTAAATTAAATTAGACCTTTTTCGGCGACCAAACTTTTAGTCGCTTAAAGTCCCATATTTTTAGCTACTAAAATTTTAGTCGGTAAAGAGTTCTTCTTTTGGCTACTAAAAATTTAGTCGTCGAAAGTCCCACATCTTTGGCTACTAAATTTTTAGTCGGCAAAGAGTTCCTCTTTTGGCTACTAAATATTTGGTCGCCTAAAGTTCTACATTTTTGGCTACTAAAATTTTAGTCAGCAAAAGTGTTTTTATCCTTTAGTTTTTTGTTTTTAGTTACGAAATATTTTAGTCGCCAAATGTTTGATTTTCTTTTGGCTACTAAACTTTTAGTCGCCAAATGTCTATTAATTTTTTTTTGCTACAAAACTTTTAGTCGCCAAATGTCTTTTCCCAATTTCTTTTTAGCTACAAGTTGTTTAGTCGCCAAAAACATGATATTATGTTTTAACGCAAAATTATCCACAACCTGTCTATATTCAATGCAACCTGTAATACGTATATAAACAAAATGATACATACTATCAATCATTCCACAATCTGCATCCGTATACCAAAAATAAGGTCTTGTTTGGGGTACTCTAAAAAGTCAAAAAGTCAAAAAGTTACTATCCTATTGAATTCACATCATCTTTTTACCACATCACTTCAAACCCAACTCATACCCAACCCATATTTTACAAAAAGTCAAAAAGTTCACTTATTTAGATCATCCCAAACCACTCCTAAATAACTTTAAATGTCAAAGTCCATACAAATCAACTATTGTCCAAACTAAAATAATAATTCCATATAAATATATCATACAAAAATCAAAGCCCTCCGTACAAAAAATACATTTACTACCAAGCGAAATTACCATTTGGTATGGTACAAATTACCATCGTAATCTGTACGATGACAAAAGGTGATATATGTACCACGACAAAAGTTTTCTATAGACTATAACAAAACGTTCTATATGTACGCCGACAAATGGTATATATGTACCACGACAGTCATTATCTATTGATTGCCAAAAGTTTTCTATATTAGTAATAATGAACTACACAAAAGCTGAGGACAACAAAAGTATTATATTAGTTCTACACAAAAGTGAATTTTTTTCTTCATACACCAATATGGATTATCCACAAGTCCATGCAACAAAGCCATCTACAAAGAAAAACAAAAAACGAAACATTAGAATTGGTTACAAAATATCAATTCAGTCAGCTATATGGAACATGTTCTAACATGCATTTAAGGTAGAACAATCGAGAAATGTCTTCTTGGATATAAAAGAAAGTATATATATATATATATATATGTATGTATGTATCATGCAATATTTATTCCAACCAACTGCATAAACAATGTAATATGTAATTTCTTCGTCCTATAAATATATAAAGGCAATTATTAGAATATATAGATGTTATTTTCATAAAGTTTTCACTTTTTAAACTAAGTGTTGCGAGTTTTTCGACTAAGTGTAAGGCGTATTCGGGGGCTGTTATGAATTTTCGCCCTCGGAAAACTCTTTTTCGAGTAAGTTTAGGACGTATTTAGCTCTAACTCCCAACCTACGGATTCAAATTATGTTCCGTCAGTTCTCACAAGTCTTATTTGTCATGGTGAAGCTATCTATGTGAGCCACACGGTCGTTTGGGGGTTGTTTTGAATTTTCGCCCCCGAAACGCCCTTTTTCGACTAAGTTTAGGACATATTCGACTCTAACTCCCAACCTACAAGTTTGAATTACGTTTCGCCAGTTCTCATAAGTCTTATTTGTCATTGCGAAGCTATCCGTGTGAGCCATACGGTCATTCGGGGGCTGTTTTGAATTTTCGCCCCCGAAATGCCCTTTTTCGACTAAGTTTAGGGCGTATTCAGCTTTAACTCCCAACCTACGGGTTTAGATTACATTCTGTCAGTTGTCACAAGTCCTATTTGTCATGAGGGAACTGTCTATGTGAGTCACACGATGGTTCGGGGGTTGTTTAGAATTTTCGCCCCCGAAATGTCCTTTTTCGACTAAGTTTAGGACTACGCGGCTTTAAGTCTCTACCTATCGGTCCAAATTACATTCCGTCAGTTGTCACAAGTCCTATTTGTCATGGGGAAGCTTTTCGTGGGAGTCACATGGTCATTCGGGGGCTGTTTAGAATTTTCGCTCCTGAAACGCCATTTTTCGACTAAGTTTAGGACGTATTCAGCTCTAACTCTCTACCTATGGGTCTGAATTACGTTCCGTTAGTTGTCACAAGTCCTATTTGTCATGGGCGAACTGTTCGTGTGAGTCACACGGTGGTTCGTGGGCTGTTTAGAATTTTCGCCCCCTAAACACCCTTTTTCAACTAAGTTTAGGACGTATTCGGGTCTAACTCTCTACCTATGGC